ATTTTATCAACGTTCTCGGTTTAGGTACTCGGTTTCCCAAATTCTTTCGTTTTCATAAGATATCTCGATGTCTCGTCTTTGCTTTCTTCGGTACCTTCTAGATTTCCCCCATTACATTTTTCGCTTACTTGATTTATTTACCTCGGTCTCTTCGGTTGGCTTTTATGACTCTTGCACACTTTACTCTCTGAGTCTCTGACTTCTTCATCTACTTTGGTAGCTTTGGATTCTTACATTTCATCAAGTTCTTCGCGTTTTGCGAGTTTCCTGCTTCTTCGGATTTTTCAAACATTTTACCGTTTTCGGTTGTTTTACTATTTTCGGCAAGCCGATAGCATAGAACGAGTGATACTCCTGTGATTTTGCGACAATACCAGAAACCGCTTAATAATAATAATACATGAGGGTCAGTTGAATTACGAGAAAGTTGCCAAATTCAAAGCCGAAAAGTAAAAGCGCATGTATTTTTGTGTTTTTCAATAAGGAATGTCTTTCTGATTAAAATAATACTATGGCTATAGCGAAATTCGTACCGCCATTGGAAAATCTCGGTTTTTCCCGTTCCCGTTTTTCGCCGTCTCCGCGGGAAACTTCTTTCGGAGTATACTTTAACGCCTTCAAATAAACCTACGTTCTAAACGTCAAGTATCTTTTCGATTGTAAAATATAAAATCCTATTTTTCCTGTTCCCGTTCCCGTGGGATTTCGGAAAGTGTTTTACTAACTCAAAAACTTTTGCGGGCATACGTCCATTACGGTGTGCACATTTTAAATCCTTCGAAGTATTGTGAGTTAAGAGCGATGTCGTTTCAGTGCATGGTGGTGACGTGTTGCAAAATCACACTGAGCACATTTTAAACAGTTGAAAGTATTGTGAGTGAACATATGCCTGCACTCATCGTTGCAATTAATAGAATATGAATGGTGGAGACGCGTGAACTTTCGCATTTCTTACGAGCCGGGCACAGTAGTTCGGTGTATAATCACCCTCGAATCACACTGTGCACATTTTAAACCCTTTGAAGACTTGTATGTTAAGAGATGTTTCAGAACATGAAGATTTGTTGCAAAATTGCAATGTGTACACTTTAAATCTTTTGAGGTATTGCGTATTTTTAAACGGCAAGCGTTTATTGGTCATTATTACACACTACGTCATTTACAGTTAATCGAAATCGTGAATAATATACACCTATAACTTTTTTAATTGACAGCTTTTAATTTCATGGTTGGTAACATTGAAAGCGTTGTTATCATTAAGTTCTTTTATAATAATTTTCTTTATATTTTCGTGTTTTGTTCGATATGTACAGACGAATCCAACAAATCAAAGATCATGAAAATCGGTCCAGCCTTTCTTGAGTTATAAGTGGTTATGGTTAAGTGGAAGAGCAGGTAAGGATTTTTCCACACCTGAACTTCGCCATTTGGACACTATCATGTTTTTTTTGTTTTCTTCTTTGTTTCTTCTTGTTAAATTGATATTTTGTGTCCAATAAAATCCTATTATTATTATTATTACATACGTGACTTTTGTATACAGTGACGGGAAGGGTGGCACGCACCATAAGGAAAAGGCACTGTATTTTTTCGCGAAGGTTCCACGAGACCTTTGAAATTAGCAATCAACGTACTACTGCAATCTCTTTCTAGCATCTGTGTTTGCCTATGTTACGTGAACCTGGGACACACGGTATGTTACTATATTATTCAATTTTGAAGAGAAGGCTTTGAAAACAACAGACTAGTTGGTGTCAACCAAGGTGTCAATGTCGAAATTTTAGTAGAGTTTATGGTATCTCTATAAAATATTTACAGAGATACCTTATTCAAGGGTAGTAAACCGTGCTTGAGAATTAAATAATTATTAGAGCTGCGCATTTTGCTTTTTTTTGGTTTTAATTAGTAAGAATTATAATCCATGCCAAATATGGGGGCCCTAATTTATCCTTGTCTTTTGTTTCCAAAGCACACCCTTGATAATTAAATAATTATAATGCCTATAGGCATTTCAATTAAAAAAGTAAATGTATATTGTCGCAAATACTCCAGAAATCTCGATAGGTGCCCTGAAAGATTACACATGTGACGCAATCTTTCCGGGAAATACTACGTGTTTTGTTCTAAAACATTCGATAAAACTCGCGACCGCTCGAGAACACTAGAGTTTATACAGAGTGGCCCAACGAGAAGTATACAGAGGGCTTTTAGGGTATTAAATTTAGAAATTTCGAAAAACCCTCGGACACGTCAATTTTGTATTCGAGGGGGACAACTTTTGGAATACAAATCACGAACCGAAGTTTTCACCCCTCTACGTAGGGAGCTTAACCCCTAAAATTTTAAATGGAATCCTATGGCAAATGGCACGTTATTTGAAAGCCAATTTAATCGTGATTACTAATCTGCTTTGCTTTTTAAATTCTATGATTCGTTTCGGAGATATTCGCATTTGAAATGGCTTCTTGTGGGGATATTTAAAGAATAAAGTTTATGCTACTCCGCCCGGAACATTACAAGGGTTGCGAGCACGTATAACGATAGTGTAAGAATAGAATACACTATGGTATAACTCAACAATTTCGAGCGATTACCCCTGAAATCTTGCCGCATTTTGAAGCAAATCTTTATTATTGCATGGAAGCAGGCGGAAGGCAATTCGAGCATTTATTGAAATAAATGTTGTGTGTTTAAAGTTATTTGTTATTTTTTGCACAATTTAAACCTTTTTTAATACAAGGTGACTTAGATCGAATTTGTTTTGGTTTTTTTAGAAAAAACCATTTCAAGTGCAAATATCTCCGAAACGAATCATAGAATTTAAAAAGCAAAGCAGATTAGTAATCACGATTAAATTGGCTTTCAAATAACGTGCCATTTGCCATAGGATTCCATTTAAAATTTTAGGGGTTAAGCTCCCTCCCTCCTTAAGACCTGGGTCCGTGATTTGTATTCCAAAAGTTGTTCCCCCTCGAATACAAAATTGACGTTTTCGAGGATTTTTCGAAATTTCTAAATTTAAGCAAATCGAATTACGTTTCAAAACAGTTCCAATTTCAACGCCGAAGTAATAAATCGTTATAAACTATGAATAATATGTGTGTGGTAAATAATATTTTAATTGTTATAAATCCATTCATTTCAAGACTGTTATTGTTAAACAATTGTAACTAAATAAAGTACGTAATTAAGTTTACGTTACAACATTGTTTTAACCCGAAGAAACTTGGAACACGTTAACGTTAAATAAGAAAATGAGCAATGAATACCATATTTAATAAGAAAAAGTGTTTTCTCGAGAAATTTTGGTGTAGGCGATTTTTGGTAAAAAAGGAAGGTTATACAATATACATTGCCTTTTTTTGAGCCCCGAAGAAAAAATTGTCTCAGATCGACCCGGAAAAAAATTTTCTTATAGAATGTGGCCTGTAGAATCCATAATTTCAAACAGTTCCAAGATTGGGGTACTAGTTCAAAAGTTACAGCCCTTTGAATTTTTTTTCGAAATTGGTTTCTAGTCTATAACTTTTGATTGAGAAGTCTGATCGAAAAAGTACGAATTGATTTGGATTCTACGCACCCAAATTAATAAAAAAAGTGTTTTCCCGAGAAATTTTGGTGTAGTCGATTTTTGGTAAAAAAGGAAGGTTATACACTGCCTTTTTTTGAGCCCCGAAAAAAAATTGTCTCAGATCGACCCGGAAAAAAAAATTTCTTATAGAATGTGGCCTGTAGAATCCATAATTTCAAACAGTTCTAAGATTGGGCTACTAGTTCAAAAGTTACAGCCCTTTGAATTTTCTTTCGAAATTGGTTTCTAGTTTATAACTTTTGATTGAGAAGTCTGATCGAAAAAGTACGAATTGTTTTGGATTCTACGCACCAAAATTAATAAGAAAAAATGTTTTCCCCAGAAATTTTGGTGTAGTCGATTTTTGGTAAAAAAGGAAGGTTATACATTGCCTTTTTTTGAGCCCCGAAAAAAAAATTGTCTCAGATCGACCCGGAAAAAAATTTTCTTATAGAATGTGGCCTGTAGAATCCATAATTTCAAACAGTTCCCAGATTGGGCTACTAGTTCAAAAGTTACAGCCCTTTGAATTTTCTTTCGAAATTGGTTTCTAGTCTATAACTTTTGACTGAGAAGTCTGATCGAAAAAGTACGAATTGATTTGGATTCTACGCACCCAAATTAATAAGAAAAAGTGTTTTCCCGAGAAAATTTGGTGTAGTCGATTTTTGGTAAAAAAGGAAGGTTATACACTGCCTTTTTTTGAGCCCGAAAAAAAAATTGTCTCAGATCGACCCGGAAAAAAATTTCCTTATAGAATGTGGCCTGTAGAATCCATAATTTCAAACAGTTCCAAGATTGGGCTACTAGTTCAAAAGTTAGAGCCCTTTGAATTTTTTTTCGAAAAGCCTGAATAAACCCATTTTCTAGAATCTATAGAGAAAGACCAAAAACGCAATTTGTTGTGAAAACTTCCACACGCGTTGTTTAAGAAGTGAATTTCATGCAGTTTCGATGCCATGTGTGTGATAAATAAAATGGAAATCAAGGTACATTGTGAAAAGGCAAATTTTGCATTATAATGTTAATATCTTTAATAACATAATCTTTATCTCCGAGCTCTTCTTTACATCTTCTTTTGCATCTCTTCTCTCCCCTTCAGACCTTCAAATTTTCTTTCCATCTTTCCTTCACTTGTGCTTTATAACTTGACGTGACTATCCTCGTTAAAGTCGTTTTCACACTCTGTTTCCTTCGTACGTTTCTCCAGGATTACCCATTTATCCACGCTTCTTTCATGTCCCTTCCTTGGAACTTTTTCTGCACGCCTTCTTCACTCTCCTTTTGTGCCACTGTCACATCTATATCGCATCTCCTTTACGAATCCAATCTTTAAATTAGCAACATAACGTGGTTAGGGGATAGGTATATTTGGAAACATTTCAACAGATGCGTTATAATTTTGGACGATTAGTTCATTTCGCATCTCACTCGTCCCTTTTTTAAATGGATTTACATCCCTTATGTTGAGAAATCAAATTTATGAGTAAAAAAAAAGTCAGTAGGCTGACACCAACGGGTAATTTTGATGGCAAAATGTCAAAAGATTTAGGATCCCTTTGCAAAGAACCGAAATTCTTCTTAAAAATCATAGTGCTTGTAAGTAAACCCAGTTTTTCTCGCATCACTCCCCCTCATCATTACACTTCCAGGTATTATGCATTTTGGAAACGTCCATACTCTTCCACTACGGACTGAGTTGGTGCATCCGAAGGTCTCCTTTATACATGTCGATATTTTGTGCCCATGCTTACATATGCATAATGGGTGTGTACATTTTGGCGTATGTGTTCGATAGCGGGCACGAGTTTACCGAAAAGTTATTTCTAATCATTGGAGCTATTATGAGCGTCGTTACGGGAATTGTGATATTCCTGGAAACGTCGGACAGATTCAGCACGTGTTCCAATGATCCCGTAACAGCGCTAGGCGTAATTACGACGGCTAGCGGTGTCGTTATGGTTATAGATTACTTAATGCAAAGGAAATAGCAAACTAATATTTTAATTTTTTACAAAATAACTGCTTTGTATTTCTTACAAATCCGTGATCAGTGTCGGATCAAATACATTTAGTCTAAAGATAAAATTTAAAATAATTTGGGGGATAACTATCGTTTCCTTTCCTTCAAACCAAGCTATTTATAGATTACAGCGTGTCTTGCACATTTTCCATGAGCTCCTAATATTTCTCTAAAAAAAGATGATGACCCTCCTACCTCAAGGGGGATCAAACCGTACGAATTTTATGCTTATGACCATCTCACTTGTGGTCCAAAGCGAAACTAACGTCGATGGTTGTCATTGTGGTATAGTAGGTATCGCTACTTGCCTTTTCAGTGCAGACAAACATGCCAAAATAGAGTGATTGGTAAAAGAGAGATTAATTTTAACTTTGGCACAAAATCAAAAAATTGATAAGTACAAATTCAGACGATTCACTATCCCTTTCGCTATAACTAACCTATGGTCTACGTATACTGGGGGTTCTCCCCCACCACACCCAATTTTTTGTCCACAATTGTACAAGTGACTGCAAGTGAAAAGGAGTTTTTTGGATTCAGTTGGGTTTAAATCGTTTTTAAATTGACTCGAGAACTTTCATTTTTTGCAGCTCTTCTTTTCTGAGGGGACCAATTTCTGGCACATTTTGGAAAACATTTACTGTCGGCGTTTCTTATTAAATTTGTTCGAGTTGTACAGTCATTGACAAAAGTAATGATCGCCGAATAGGTAAATCCTGCAGCAAACGCAACCAACATTGTGTTACTTGGAAATGCGGACGACCTCCTTGAAAAGCAAGACAGAGCCCGCTGTGATAGGCACGTTGGTTACTTGTGCTACAGAGTTTACCTATTACGCGATCATTACTTTTGTCTATGACCGTACAAAGTATATCTGTCTGTCCGTCCGTGTCATTTGTACTACCCAGTGATTTTAAATTGTGGTAGAAGTGTCCTTATTGTTTAAAAAAATTCTTTTTATTCCCTTTGGCGCACTATTTCATTTAAAGAGGCACTATTGATGCCGTTTTTTATACAGGGTGTAGCACCTAAGACCTCTCGGATCATAATTCCTTTACCATAGAAGATACCGAACAAAGTCCTAGAGCAAAATTGTACACATTTACCGTCGCCATATTTATAAAATATTTTTTGATCACCAGGAGCGTGCTGCATTCCAGTGGCGTATCAAACTTGCGTTTTTTAAATGGAACTTTAACGATTTCGCTGATATAACCTTTTTTTCGTCAAAATTTGACAGTTTTTCGAAATTTTTTTGAGACAAACTAAATCGCGCTAAGGGTATTGGACTGAGGCACAGGTTAAGACCTCTTCCATGTTACATGTACTTTATCAAAAAATTAAATTTTTGATTGACCTTCGCTAAATGTCATATTTTTGAAAAATTTTAAATGGCATCACCCTAAACAAATTATACCTCTGGGTAGCCAGAAATACAAATTTTCCACTGATACAAAGAAAACCACTCATTCCATAAGAAAATTTCAGAAAAAACCTAATCGAAATGCCAATTTGTAAAAAAAACCTTATTTCGTGAACCCAAGTGTGCCATGATGAAACAAAAGAGGTTCAATTCTCACTATTAACAGTAAAAGTGTCGGCAGTGTATGATTGTTTCTTAGGCAACGTTGCAAAAATGTCCCAAACTCAAGCCGGAATTGTTGATATCGTGTTTATTCTTAGAGACCGTTACCGGAATTAATATATAATAATATATAAATGTTTATTTCATAACAGATGTTAAATTGACATTTTAATAAATTTGAATGAGTAGGTTAAGTCCCTCTTTAACCGTAAGAGTAAGTGAAACAAAAGATTGCGAATTCCAATGAGATTTGTCGTTGTTATTAAAAATGAGACGCGACGCACGAAATAAAATGAAGTTCAGAACAGAATCCCAATATTGTTTCCATGGAAACCACGGGATAACCTAAGCTTTGGCCGAGGCTTTGGCTATTTCGGACGCCCAAATTAAATACCTACGGAATTTTTAGAATTTCAATTTCAATGGCTCCTGCTAGAAAATAAAATTTTGTGTTATACATGACTATAAAGGGAAAGTAACCGTCCCTTTATCATCTTGTCTAACAAATAACTATGAAAAAGGTATGCAGAGCACTAAAAAAAAGCATGGAATTTTTTTATATTGATACAACTCAAATCTCCTATTATCATTAATATTGAACAAATTTTTTTAACCATTTTCCCGCCTGCCCTAAAAGTTTGCCCTGAAGTAAGTCATGTAAATAAACAATCTTCTCTTTTTACGCATTATTCAGACCTCCTTCGCGCTTTCTTCGCACCATTTTGAAGTCTGTTGGACCATCAATTGATTCCGCATCTCCCTCGTCAATTTTTTAGACGAGTTACGTGCCGTGCGTCGAGAGATCAAATTATGAGTACAAAGTTAGTAGGCTTATACAAACGGGTAGTTTTGATCATGGTGTATAACCTTCCTTTTTTACCAAAATTCGACTACACAAAAATTTCTCGGGAAAACACTTGTTCTTATTAATTTGGGTGCGTAGAATCCAAATCAATTCCTACTTTTTCGATCAGACTTCTCAATCAAAAGTTATAGACTAGAAACCAATTTCGAAAAAAAATTCAAAGGGCTGTAACTTTTGAACTAGTAGCCCAATCTTGGAACTGTTTGAAATTATCGATTCTACAGGCCACATTCTATAAGAAAATTTTTTTTCCGGGTCGATCTGAGACAATTTTTTTTTTCGCGGCTCAAAACAAGGCAGTGTACTTCCGTGTATGGTTTTGATCACAGAATACTGTGGTTTTGATAGCAAAATGTCAAATAACTTGGGATCCCTTTGCAAAGAACCAAAATTCTTTTTAAAAGTCACAGTGCTTGTAAGTAAACCCAGTTTTTCTCGCATCAGTCCCGCTTCATTACACTTCCAGATTTTATGCGTGCTTGAAACCTTCCTACTCTTCCACTACGGACTGGATCGGTGCATCCGAAGGTCTCCTTTATACATGTCGATATTTTGCGGCAATGCTTACATATGCATAATGGGTGTGTACATTTTGGCATATGTGTTCGATAGCACGCACGAGTTTACCGAACAACTATTTATAATTATTGGAGCTATTATGAGCGTCATTACGGGAATTGTGATATTCCTGGAAACGGATAGACACAGCACGTGGCTGACGTGTTCCAAACAGTCCGTAACAGCACTGGGCGTAATTACGACAGGTTGCGGTATTGTTATGGTTGTAGATTACTTAATGCAAAGGAGATAGCCAACTTATATTTTAATGTATTTCTTCCTAATCCAAAATAAAATTAAAAACCAATTACAACGGCACGCATAATTTTGATCCTTTCGAGCCGGGATTTTTTCGGAGTAAGCAGTACTGTACAGGATGCGAGTGGAGTGTCAGCCGCGCCATGTCGATCGACAACAGAATTTCCCTTGTGAAGAATATTGTCCTGTGAATAAATCCCAACCATGCAGTAAAGAATTGCTCAGGAATTGCCAGAAGAAACAACTTCTTACTCCATAAGTCAGAATCTGCTTCGGAAGCAGTAGCTACTCTTCCTGCCGCCTGTCACTTTACTGGCCGCACTTGTCACTTTACCTGCCGCACCTGTCACATTGCTAAATGTCTATAATGACTCCTGTCATCACTGACAGATTGACATTAATCAAATGTTTTATATGAAAATTGAAATTTTATATTAAACTACGATTTCGGGTAAAATGTAATACAAAACTCGTCAGTAAAATACATTACTTGACTCGGAAATTACAGTACTTTGGGGCCTCGTACTTCAATATTTCCTCGCCAGTTTCCTGACTTTTATGTAAATAACTATGAGAGTTGTAGACAAAATTAGGTGCGATTGAAGTTCTAGCCGCCCCACTGGCTGCACTTATTAAGTTTATAAGTACAGAGATATCAGTAGGCTTACACAAACGGGTAATTTTGATAGCAAAATGTCAACAGATTTTTACACGCTTTGTGCAGGACACACGTTATGCTTAAAAATCACAGTGCTCGTAAGTAAAGCCAGTTTTTCTCGCATCAGTTAATCTGCATTACACTTCCAGATATTATGCGCGCTTGAAATCCTTGTACTATTCTGCTTCGAACTAGATAAGTGCCTCCCCAGCCATATTTTCTACATGACGATAGGTTTTGTCGTCTATACTGCCTTATGCATAATTGTGGCACATGTGTTCGATTGCACGCACGACTCTCCCCAAAAATTATTTATGCTCCTTGGATTGTGTATCGGAATCCTCCTGGGAGTGGTTACAGGAATATTCATATTCGTGTCAGCGAATAAACGCAGCAGGTCGCTGATATGCTCCAAACCGTCCCCAACAGACCTGGGAGCGATTGTTACGCTCGGTGTAACTACGAAAATTGCCTCTATGGTTATGATTCCACTCCTCGCCGTAATTAATGGATCAGACTAATCCGTAATCAGCGCCGAATCAAATACTTTGAGTCTAAAGATAAAATTAAAAATAGTTTGGCGTATAACTGTCGTTTCCTTTCCTTCAAACCAAGCTGTCTAATTGATTACAGCGGTGTGTTGCACATTTTCCAAGAGTTCCATCAAAATAATTAAGATAATTCCCAGTGCAAAGACCAGATTTTGGAGACTGAACCATTTTGTGAGGTGGCAACCAAACATTTCTCCCCTAAAAGATGGAAATCCTTCTTGCTATCCATCCGTGAAAGCTCCTACATAAAGTGTAACCATCTCTTCTTTATTCAATTGTAACGTGTATTTCCGTTTCAAAGAAATACCCCGCGATCGCAACTTGGTTTTCTGATGCTCGAAAAAATGGCAAATTTTGCACTTGGAAAAGCTCTAAGTTACTGCGTTACATATCGTCGTAGTTACTTCTTAGTAGTTGCCGACCGAATCTCTTTTAAAACTTCTCCGGATTAACTACTTGCGAAAGAAATCCCTTGGAGAACCACTGCCTGCCTTTGTAACTCACACAGCACTCTTGTTGAACAATATTTAGCACCACATTTAAAAGTATTCACCGCAATTTTTTATATACATGGTAATTCAAAAATATCTAGTCAGGTACCATCTCAGCTTCCAAATTCATTGATGTAAAAATCCCGGTGTCCTAATCCGTTTTAAAATAGTGTAATTTTTATTGAATTTGCTTTTCTAGTCCGCACTTATACCCTGCAAGAGATGACGCATTTTTAGGGTTCAAAAATTCTGGCGTTAGAATAATTATCCTGATGGACGGTTCACTGGTAACCCTAAATACAATTATGCAGGTACATATTTAACCCTAATCCGTATTACACGTACGCAATTTTCAATTAAAATGGTTTCATAGTTACCACCTATAACGTGAAAGGGGTTGTTCAAATATTCTGAAATATGTTCTAATTCATTGATGGTAACATTTAATCCAAATCCGTTTTAAATAAATAGCTTTTTGGTTAGGATTATGCTTTGCATTATCGGAGTTCGAATATTCGTACTTAATTACCCTTTTGCAGGACTCAGTAGCAACCCTAAATTCATTTATCTAAAAATGTAACCTTACATCTTTCAAAATTCTGTAATTTTCAAGTGAATTCCTTCAAAGTCAATATTTATACCCTGTAAGGGGTTACAAATTTTTGAGGTGCAAATATTCTGCTATATACATTGGTTGTCTATTTAGAGGATCTGCTAGCAACCCTAAATTTATTATTTATTATCGGTGCCTTTAAGGACAATATGATTACAAAACTTGCGCGGCAAATTCTGCAAGATAACCGACCAATAAACATATTTTGCAGAGAGTCTGTAAGACACTTAAAGGATTCCTGAACAAATTCTGAGAAGACTATACAATTAAAATAAAATTAAAGTAAAGTTAGATATCGCTGGAACCGAAGTTTTTATTTAGGTTACAAACGCTACGTCTCTCCTTTGAAGAGGCTCCCTCCAAGAAAAACTGAAAACAGGATCGCTTTTGTGGTGATGCAGTTGAACTTTTGTGACTCGCCCTGGTACAATTGCCTCTCGTATGAAAAATTTCTCTGACTAATGAACTTTTACTTATCTTGACCTCGTCCAAACTCTGCCAAAATGAGTTGTTGCTATTGCACAAGAATAAAAAAGTTACGAACTCGCTAATTTCTTCGCGTGAGGTCCCCATTGCCCAGACAGATGGTAAACACCCCCAAATCAGTTGGAGGTTTACAAAGCAAATGAGACAAATCAGTCCGTATCAAACCCATACGATTTTTAATAGGGGAATTTTTAGCCACTCAGCTCGTATTCGGAAACCGGACTTTTGATCCGGCTCATATTCAATAGCACTGATCCTTGAACTCGTACGAATCGATTGGCGAAGGTTTGACATCGCAAAGAACATCGCTGTCTCTTTTCGTTCTCGAGTTAGATGGGGAACAGACAGACGGACACAACCATCACATAAGGGAAATTTTTTTCCTTTGAAAAATTCCCCTAAAAGATTAGCAACGAAAGATCACAGGCGATTGAAACACTGTTTTGGATCAATCGGTGGTGTACGATATTGGATTAAATTTACATTGATCCCCATCAACAATTAAGTTATAAATTGACACGCGCCTAGGGAAACGGTATTCCACTTGCCACAGAAAAACTAGTGCCGAAAAAAGCGTTTGAAATACCGTTTCAGATATCACATTTCGTGTGTGATTACAAACTCGATGATTCAATTTTTCTCTTAGCACGCGTGTTCTCTAAAATAGGAAAGACAGGAAAGGTTTTCCAAGAATTCCTTCCAGAAATCTTCAGAGGACATTTCCAAAAGGATTTCTAAAGAAACCTCAGGTTTTCATGTCTCTTCATTTGCAGGATAAGAGTTCTAGGTTCAATCTAAGCGGTTTCCCAAAAGCAATTTCAAAAGATTTCCTACGGCTCGTTCGATTAAAAAAAATCTAATCCAGCATCATTCCCCTTGATCCATATCCAATTGGGAAAAGGAAGAAAAATATTACTACCGAGGCTTGGAAAATTGGGAAAAATGTAGGAATACTCGGAAAAATAAATGATTTCGAAGATTAAGGAGAAATCGAAAATTTCAGGATTCAAAAAAGTTTCTAAAGTCAAAGCGTTTCAAATTGAGAAAAAGGAGCAAACACTTTGAGAATGCGAAGCCTGGGAATATTAGGAAAAGCGTAGAAACACTCGGAAAAATTCTAAAGGTTAACAAAAAAAAATCTAAAGTTTCAAGATTTAAAAAAACTCTAAATTGAAAGGGTTTCCAATTGGAAAAGAGGAGAGGAACAATTTAGAGACTCGGAAGAAGAATGGAAACACTTGGACAAATTCTGAAGATTACCATTAAATCGAAAATTTCAAGATTCAAAAAAGTTTCTGAAATGAAAGGGTTTCCAATTGGGGAAAAAGGAGAAAACACATAAAGACTACGGCGACTTGGAACATTGAGAGAAGCGTAGAAACACTCGAAAAACCAAATGATTCTGAAGATTAAGATATCAAACATTTCAAGATTCAAAAAAGTTTCGAAAGTAAAAGAATAACATTTAGAGACTGGGAAGGCTTGGAATATTGGGAGAAGCGTAGAAAACTTTCACTTCCTCTTCCTTGTCTTCCTTGAGGGCAGATCTATGGGAGTTCTCACACGAAACCCCCGTGCCTTTATGCAGAGGCAGCCTTCAGTTCGACTTTCTTTCTTCTGAAACGTAGTGAATTGCAGATTATCCAAACTTCCACCCGCATCGCCAGAGTATATGAGCCTTAGGAGAGCTCTCCCAGCTTCTTCAATAGCCTCATGAGGAGCTTGTGGGGTTGTAGAAGGTGTCCCGTAGGTGAGTGGCTTTGCTCAGAAGGTTTGCAGATCGGCCCTTCCTACTGCTCCGCACACTGGACTATATACTACTCCGGTATTTACCTTACGATTTACGAAAGCTGCAGGAACACCTAAATCGGAATGGCCGACAGAATTCTCGTAACTAATTTAAGGAAATTTCCATCTGGCACAGATGAAAAATTCTTACCCCAGCCCAAGTTCGAACACCCGCCCTCCCGGCTATGTAGTCCAGCGCTCTACCACTGAGACCCATAGACGATGTTGTGGTCAAATTCCTTTGAAAGTTTCTACAAGACCCAGAAATTCCTTGAAGTGTTCTAATAAACCTTAAATTCTTGAGCAACCACTGAACAACTTGAGAAGACTTTCGGGTCTCGTTTCGGGATTAGGACATGGGATTGGTGAGGTTCCAGCCGCCCCACCCGCTGCCATTTTTTTAATTTTTAGCCGAGTTTACACCCCGCACGTTGAGGAAATCAAATTTATGAGTAGAGTTGTCAGTAGGCTTACAAAAGCGGATAATTTTGATAGCAAAATGTCAATAAATTTGTTCTCCTTTTTTGTAGGACGAACAATCTTCATCAAAATCCTAATGCTTGTGAGTAAAGCCAGTTTTCCTCGCATCAGTTCATCTGCATTACACTTCCAGATATTATGCGCGGTCGAATTCTTTCTACTCTTCGACTACGAACTGGAAAGGTGCCTCCCCCGCGGCACTTTCTACATGTCGATAGTTTGTGCCGCCCATATATGCGTAATGGCTGTGGATATTTTGACGATTGTGTTCGATTGCACGGACGCGTTTCCCGAAAAATTATTTCTCTGTCTTGGAGCTATTATGGCATTCAGTACGGGAGTTGCGATACAAGTGGAAATAAGTAACCCCAGTTCGGGGCTGTCGTGCCCCAAAGAGTCGCAATCACCACTGAACGTGCTAGGCGGCATTACGGGATTTGGCTGCATTGTTTTGGTTTTCAATCTCGCCGTAATTGAAACGGGGTCAGAAAACTAATAATTTAATTCCTTACAAATAAGTCCTCGGTATTTCTTCCAAATCCGTGATCAGTGCCGAATCAAATACCTTGAGTGTAAAGGTCAAATTAAAAATAATTTACATAACTAACCTGGTTACAAAACCTTCTTTTTAGGGCATTTTTGGAAAAAAATACGCTATTATATTTGTTATGGCTGGCTGGCTGGCTGTCCGGCTGAGATATCGACTTTAAATTTTCACTAAAAACTTCTGTTACAGTGTAGGTGTGCAGGCTCTAGTCTATTTTGGGTTAGATTACTCGTGAGACCGATAATTTTAAACTTTCGTAATGAAATACTGATCTACATTAGGTACCAAAAATGCGCTTTCATCATGCATACCTATGCTGATTTGCGTTATTGGCATTATGCGCAGCATCGGCATTACCTGTAAGGCAATACCATTCCGTGTAGATACTTATGTTAGAGATTGTCTATTAAATATCCCTAAGAAACTTAAGAAAAGTCTTCACCACTGCAAGAAGAACATGTCTATCTATCTATGAAGATGTCTATCTCACTTTAGAAACCTTTCTTTTAAACCCTGCAGTACTGGCGCCAAGTCTCACAGACTCCGCGGTTGCGTTTACTATTGTCTTCGAAGTGGAGAGAGTAGCATCTTTCATTTCCCGTGTAGCTTCATGAGTTACCATTGTGGCAAGTGACGTTTTTTTTATAAGGCCTTTTCGGGATCTTGTATCTTGTATCTGTATTATGTGAAGTCTGCCAAACTTATATCCCATGCACATACATCGGACATTTGCGACATACTTTTCCACATTCTATGGATATACAATATCCCACGTGGAATGTACATGGTATATGCAATGTATATAGATCTGCTATGTGGGTAGGTGGCTGATGTGAATTTTTGGGTAATGGTAACGTCGAAGATGTTGATGGTACGTTCCCAAGGGTTCCACATTTCTTTTCAATACCTACTTATTGAACCACTAACCAACAATGAGGGTTCAGGCTCGTGGACCCATCAAAATATAAGGGCTACAGGGTATAATCAACCGTCGACTACTACATGATGATAGTCCTCAGGCGCCTTGATTATTATTGCAATCTTCAAGTGGTATTCTTCGCGAATTAACGCCTTAAGCTGAATGCAATTTTTCTAGGCCAGATGAAAGTTACGATAAAAAGGAGCGGAAGAATCAGTTATTAATTTCCAAATCGAATATTTCGAATTAATTACGCACGCAGTTAAACATATTATGCTGGTTACCATTTAAAGAATGCATAAATTACAAAGGTAGACAAAGGTTAACGTTAGTGGAAGGTTGATATTCTTGTTTGCCGCATTAGAAATATTCTAATTTACGATAAAGTAATTACAGTTAAGCCTACGGTATGGTTTATAAGCATTACCGTTCTTAACAGTTTCAAAATTGTGAATACGCCGGTTTTTTGCTTTTTTTTTGAGGAATAACTGCATAATTGCATGCGAAGGTTTCGGTGTAGACGAAACGTCATTGTCGGTTACAGAACTCGAAGAAAGTCGTTTTACACCTGTCTGCACGGATTTATATTTATAAACGTTTTTGGTCTCTGACCCCAAATTGGTGCTTAGTTTCTTTAAGCTTGGAAATTTATAGATAAATTGCGGTCGATAGGATTTATGGCAACAATCAATCCAGAAATCAACGTCCAAGAAAATGAATTTTCTTCTACGGTGGAAGGAGAAGAACTTGTTTCATTTTATTTGGCTCAGTGAAACGGATGAATAAATTGTTCAGTAATTTCGTTTAATTTCTAATTTTTATCGCACCCAATTGGGAGTAGTGTGTATCGGTATGCGTCTAAGGGAAATAAAAAGAAAAGTGATTTATTGGAAGTATTTATATGTAACGTTATTAATTGCGCCCATCATTTATGTAAGTGATCGACGATATGAGAAATGCGTGTTACAAACGGAGAGAAATTTATGGGATCGTTCTTCGCACTTTATGAACGTGATCGCATGAATTAGTAATAGAAACTGCATTTATTGTTCCAGGTCCAATTCAAAACTTTTCTTGCTGTAGAAATTTCACGAAATAGTCACTATGTCTTCCACCAACCCTCAGTTCTTAAAATTAACCTGCAGTTCTTTCCGAACCAGATCACAAAAACCTCATATCATATACTGGAGGGTATTCCATGGTATAAGTTATCGAATGAAAAAAGAACGAACAAAGTATCTTGAAAATTGTAACAGTAGGACCCTGAGTAGGACAGACGGACGGACGGTAAGCATCTTCCAACAATGCGCTTTATGTGCACAAGAGTTGTGTACAATTTATACTTGGCAACCCTTATTACATCGATAAAAAGGGTACATCCCTAACCGTATTGAGAGTTTAGTGAATTTTCAATGTAAATCCTTTCTTGCTTATAGCATTTATTTACTGATAAGTGATAGGGAGTGAGACTTTTGCGGGGATCTTAGACAGAATTTTCGTTTAGCGAATTCAGTAACAATCCCTATTTCATTTACCAAAAAGATACCATCCCTATCCATACTGAAATTACGTAAATTTCAAAGAAAATGCTTTCCTGCTTGTCACTTAGGTACTCATTGATTCTTTGCGGGGACCAAATTTACTGATTCGTATAAATTTTAGAAGTTTTATTAGAAACCCCAGTTATCTACATAAAAAGATGGAACCCATATATGCATATTAAAATTTCCTCATTTTTTTCTTAAATTGAACTTCATCGAAATTTGCATAGGAAATTGGCACAAATAGGGTGATTGGGCCACATTTTAGTGCACTTTTGGATAGGTACGTTTAAAACTAAGTGCTTTACCGGGTTTTTTTGAACGAGTACCAATCTCCTGAGTGCCAATCTGGGGCAAAATCTCCTCGAGGGTAATGATATTTAATGATCCTCTCTGTATAAAAAGTTGTACAGATTTTCGAATGTTTCTATAAATCTTGGAAGTTTTTGGGAAATCTCTTTTGAAACCTTCTCCAGGAATTTCAGTAGAAATCTTCTTCAAAATAGTTTTGGAGATATTAGAAATGTCCTTAGATCTTAGAATTAAATCTTCTTTAGAACTAATGAGTTTCTTCTCTCTACGCTTCTCTCAATGTTCCAAACCTTCGTAGTTTGTAATTGTTTCTCTCCTTTCTCCCAATTCGAAACCTTTTAATTTTAGAATCTATTTTGAAACTTGAAATTTTCGACTTCTTAATCTTCCGAATTTTCCAAGCGTTCCTTCTTCCAGTATTCCAAGACTTCGTAGTCTGGAAATGTTTTCCTCCTTTTTTCCAATGTCTTCGTTTCTCCCAATTTTCAAAGCCTTCTCTAAATATTTTTCTTCCTTTTCCCAACACTGTCCATCTAGAAATTTTTTGAATCATGACATTTTCGAAATCTTCTTTATCTTCAGAATCATTTTGTTTTTCTAGTGTTTCTACGCTTCTCCCTATATTCGGAGTCTCCGTAGTCTTTAAATGTTATCCCTCTTATTCCCAATTGAAAACCCTACTTTAGAAGCTTTTTAAATCTTGAGCTTTTAGAAGAATTTTCCCCTTCTTCTAATATTTTAAACTTTCATAGTGTCTAAATGTTCCTCTCCTCTTTCCCAATTGGAAATCCTTTCAATTTAGGGTTTTTTATTCATGAAATTTTAGATTTTCCACGCTTTTCCTAATATTCCAAGCCCTCTGAGTCTCTAAATGATTTTCTCCTTTTTCCTTTGATTTTGGAAACTTGTTTGAATCTTGAAATTGTCGAGATCTTCTTTATCTTCAGAATCATTTATTTTTTTCTAGTGTTTCTACGCTTCTCCCTATATTCGGGGTCTCCGCAGTCTTTAAATGTTATTCTGCTTATTCCCAATTAAAAACCCTTTTACTTTAGAAGCTTTTTAAATCTTGAGCTTTTAGAAGAATTTTCCCCTTCTTCTAATATTTTAAACTTTCGTAGTCTCTAAATGTTCCTCTCCTCTTTCCCAATTGAGAATCCTTTCAATTTAGGGTTTTTTATTCATGAAATTTTAGATTTTCCACGCTTTTCCTAATATTCCAAGCATTCTGAGTCTCTAAATGATTTTCTCCTTTTTCCTTTGATTTTGGAAACTTGTTTGAATCTTGAAATTGTCGAGATCTTCTTTATCTTCAGAATCATTTATTTTTTCTAGTGTTTCTACGCTTCTCCCTATATTCGGAGTCTCCGCAGTCTTTAAATGTTATTCTTCTTATTCCCAATTGAAAACCCTTTTACTTTAAAAGCTTTTTAAAACTTGAGCTTTTGGAAGAATTTTCCCCTTCTTCTAATATTTTAAACTTTCGTAGTCTCTAAATGTTCCTCTCCTCTTTCCCAATTGAGAATCCTTCCAATTTAGGGTTTTTTATTCATGAAATTTTAGATTTTCCACGCTTTTCCTAATATTCCAAGCATTCTGAGTCTCTAAATGATTTTCTCCTTTTTCCTTTGATTTTGGAAACTTTTATGAATCTTGAAATTGTCGAGATCTTCTTGATCTTCAGAATCATTTATTTTTTCTAGTGTTTCTACGCTTCTCCCTATATTCGGAGTCTCCGCAATCTTTAAATGTTATTCTTCTTATTCCCAATTGAAAACCCTACTTTAGAAGCTTTTTAAATCTTGAGCTTTTAGAGGAATTTTCCCCTTGTTCTAATAATTTAAACTTTCCTAGTCTCTAAATGTTCCTCTCCTCTTTCCCAATTGGAAATCTTTTTAATCTTGAAATTTTAGTTTTTCCAAGCTTTTCCTAATATTCCAAGCCTTCTGAGTCTCTAAATGTTTTTCTCCTTTTTCCCAATTGGAAAGCCTTTGATTTTGGAAACTTTTTTGAATCTTGAACTTGTCGAGGTCTTCTTTATCTTCAGAATCATTTATTTTTTCTAGCTTTTCTACGCTTCTCCCTCTATTCGGAGTCTCCGCAGTCTCTAAATGTTTTTCTTCTTGTTTTGTATTTAGGTATCCTGGATATATACACATATAACGGAAGGATACTGAAATACATTTATTGCAAAACTATTACATTAAAGAAACGCGTGAGCTCTTTGA